GGCGGGTCGGGTAGGGCCCTGCCTGGTCGCCAGACCCCAACAGCGGTCCACGGCTTCCGCGCCCTTCGGCGGCCCGGGCGCCCGGCGTATGCGTGGGAGGGAGAACGGGATGCCGCGACACGCGGGCCTGTTGGAGACCCCGGGTCGGTCCCCCGCCCGCTTTTCACCTCCCAGTCCAATCAGACTCTGGCCAGGGAGGACTGCCACCCTGCCGGCCCTCACCTCCAGCGCTGCTGTGGCCTCGAGGCATCAGATTCCCGGAGGTGGGGTGGGGGTGGGGGTGGGGCGGCCATTGCCTCAGTCTTTGTTCAGACTCCCGAGGGGACCTAGGCCCTGTAGAGACAGAGCCCCCCGCCCTCCCCTTCCTGCCCGACTACCGGTCCTCTGCCGCCTGGGGAACGCTGGAAGAAAGGGTTGGAGCCCTTGGGGAGTCGTCCCGCCTGTTTTCCAGACCTTGGGTATCCTTGGGGAACTCGTGCGGGAGTGACGTCTTCTGGCAAAGGCGTTCTGGGCCCTCAGGGTCCTGCCCAAGTTGTGGTGAGCCCCCTGCTCCCCCTGGCCCCCGCAGTTCTCCATCCATTATCGGATCAGAAAAGGGGACGGGGAGACTCCTGTCCTTCTCAGGCTCCTTCTGCTCTGGCCCTATGGCTTTTCTCCACTCCCCACTCCCCACCCCTCTAAAGGGAAGGCTAGAGTGTCAGTCAGTCCCGCTCTAGCAACTATGGAAAGCTGATGACCTGAAAAAATTCATTTGGAGAAGACAGCTCAAGACAAGGGCTCCTGGAGACCTGGGGTCAATTCAGGCTCTCTGGTGACCTTGGCCAGGAGCTCTGCCCCTCCCTGGATTCCAGCCTCTTTGGTGCGGAAGGACTGTGTTGGGTGCCAGGTCATTTGGGAGGTCCTCGATGGGTGTGCGGTGGGAAAAAGCCTGGCAGGCCTCCTCTGCCTTCACCAGACCACTGTCTGGGCTGGCTTGGGCAGAGATCCTACCTAGCTTTTCCTCAGCTCCAGGGGACTACTGTGGCAGTGAATTGAGCTGCTCACCAGCTAAGGAAGCTGGTAAGATTTGGGTGGACCCAGGTAGGGCATACGTTCCACTTTAGGTTACTGCTTTTTCCTGCTTGGATGCTGAATATTAATTGCATAGGCGGTAGCAAACTTGGATTCCTATCTCTGCCTCTCAATTTCCTGCTTGTAAGGAAGGTAGGGGGAGGTCTGTAGTGATGACATTGACACAGGAAAGTGACTCCCAGTGCTGGGAGCCACTTGAAGTCCAAGTGGGTCCTTAGTTTTGCACAGGAAAGAGCTCAGGAGCAAGGCAACAGTATAACATGAAAGTGAGATTTATTAGGAAACTATAGAAAGTCTGCTCCATAGACAACAGGGGCAAATTTTCCCTGCAGAAGAGAACTGCCCCCGGCTTCCTGTTGCCCTTAGTTTCAGCATTGACTTAATTATAAGCTAAACAAGGTGTGGAATATTCTTGAGAGGGGTGGTGTTTTCCTGGAATCAGAATAACACCCTCTGTTTCTCCACCATCTTGGTTCGAATCTGGCCTGCCTCCATCCTGTTTTGATCGAGGTAATTTGAAGCTCTGTTTTGAGGCTGTCTGACTCAGGTAATGCTGCTGCAAATGCCCAAAGCATCAGTGCCCTGCTGCTGGCCTCCCTCAGCCCCCATTCTCACTACAGTGGATTCTTCATGGTCTTGGCTTCCTCATGTCAACAGTTTTTAATTCATGGTCAGCAATGGGATGTTTCATTGGAGGAGTCTAGATCATATACTCTTACAAAGCTGCAAGGGATGCAGGGAAAAGGGAGGTAGGCTCTGCCTTGTAGGAAGGGTGTGTGAGATGCCAGTGACCAAAAGTGTGACTAATGACCACTTTAGATAACAATGGACTTGTGAAAGGTTGTGATATGACACACATGAACACTTAACTCAGAGTCTGGCGTGGAGAGGACATGTGATTCCTGTGTTGAGATTCATACTACTCTGTAAATCTACAGTGTCAATCAGTGGTGCTCCTCCATACTTCAATCTTTGATATTTCAGCAGGTGAAAGACAAAAGGACCTTGAAAACAGTATAGCTTGCTGCCCTTCCAGATGCAGAGGCAGCTCCAGTCCTGCTGCCAGGAGGACAGGTGACTGGGTTTTTCCATTGTGGTGATGAATTGGGCTGAGTCACCATCCCTCTCCGGTCCCCTCATGACCATGACTGGGAGCAAGTAAAAAGAACCAGCTGATGGAGTTGGGGGTGCAGATGACTTGTCTAGAATCCTTGTCCCTTAGCAGGGGACGGGGGAGGCAGCAACTGTCTTCCCCTCTCCACTAACACTCCCTACTCATTAATCATGAGCCACACAGCCTCAGGGAGTTCTCTGTCTCTCCGTTTATAGTATTGATTGAATGCCTCTTTGGTGCTGTGCCTGTGCTGTGGGCTTCATGGGAGAACCAGAGCTGACTAGGACACTGACCTTGCCCTTAAGGTTCATGCACTCATGTAGAAAACTAGCTCAGAGACCCATAATTCAGATACCGGGCAGATTCTGCTACAATGCGTAATTGAGGTTACCATGGAGTACAGTAGAGAACTGGAAGGTTCAGTAAGGTCTTCCTTGAGATAGAACTGAGCCTGTAAGAGATGGAAAGTCAGCAGATGGAGGTAGTAGGTGGGGTGAATGGGGAGAGAACTCCATCCATCCATCCATCTATCCATCTGTCCACCCATCCATCCATCCTCTCACCCAGCCATCTATCCATCTATGCACCCATTCATCCACCCATCCACCCCTTCATCTATACATTCATATATCTACCCATCCATCTGTCCACCCATCCATCCGTCTGTCTTCCCACCATTTCATACATTTATTCACCCACCCACCCCTCCATCCATCCATTCATACATCTACACATCCATCTATCTGTCTGTCCATCTAAGTATTCATCTGTCTGTTCATCCATCTATCCATCCACCCATCTGTCCACTCATTCACCCATTCATCCATCTATCCATCCTACATTGGGTCAGCCGGCCCCTATCCTAGGCTCAGGGAGGCACAGAGCTGAGCATGTTGCAGCCCTGTCCTCCAACAGGAGCTCCTGGATTGAGATGGAGAAGGCTGGGTATGCATGAGCAGATGGCGAGGAAGCTGGAATGAGGAAGCGGGTGGGGGAGAGTGCCTGGCCTCAGTCTGGCTCTGGAATTTCACCAGCTGCCACATTATCTGCTTCCTGCCCTTGGTCCACCCTCAGCCACTTACTGGGTATCTTGCTGCCCCCTGTCTTCCCTTAACTTCCATGGCCTGTAAGGATCCTCCACCCTACAGGGCCAGTCCTTTGCCCTCCAGGTAACTCCAGGCACCCCACTCCATTCCTGAGAACAGCAGAACCCCCTCCAGTGCCCTTTGCGAATGCCCCTCTACCTCCCCTGGAAACTTTAGCAGACACATGGAAGCTCAGTTGGTGCTGAGTTAAGGCAAGAAATGGATCTGATAATACTTTTTTAAAAATTACAATAGTTATATATATTCAAGTGCACAATACTTGTAAGATGCAGAGTGAAAAATAAAAATCACTCACAATTCCATTGCCTAAAGATGGCCAGTGTTAATATACTGGGGATATGAGCTTCAGCACTTCACGTGTGTCTATGTGTACACACACAATTTGCCTTCCATGTCTGCAGGTTCTGCATCCACAGATTAAGCCAACCACAAATCAAAACTATTTGAAAAAATAAAAGTAAGCAATGTAACAAAAATAATATAAATAAAAAACAGTACAGCATAACAACTATTTACATAGCATTTTTATTTTATTGTCCTTGCCTCAGTTTCCCCTGAAAGGTGGGACTTGATCAAGGGAAAGGTGCCCTTCATGGTGAGTGGCAGGTGGCCATCCAGGCTCTCTTTCATCATATTGCCTCTGCTGGCCCAAGAGAGCTGACTGCCCTGCTCTCTGTGGGAGAGAACCCAAGAGGGCACAGGGTCATGGCAGGTAGCAATCTGGCAGAAAGCAGAGGAAATTCACTCTTTGGAGTGGAGCAATGCCTTCTTCTTGAGGAGAACTCACAAGATTGAAGGAAGCTTTTGTCCCGAAGTGCTGGGGAGTTGGCCCCCTTTCAGCAGGCTTGGGTTTTTTGGCCTGTCACTGTCCCAGCCCCAACCTGGGCCTGAGCTAAAGTTGCCCACAGAGCTGTGCAGGTGGCTCTTCCCAGACCTGGGGTGGACTTGGTCAGCCCTATGGTTGGACCTCTCACGGGCACTTTCCCTTCACTTTCCCTTCACAGTGATCCCATAGTGTCCTCAGTGCTATTATGACAGAATTGGGTTGAACCAGAAGTTTCAATCAAGTTTCTAAACAATGGAAACCGAAGAACTGACGTAGGTTGCTGTGCCAAGTCCCAGGACCACCTTCAGATGGTAAATTATTATTTACTAGAAAGAAGGACTCAGAATAGCCATTATGTTCA